TAAAGAAATCATGCCTCGCACCTCCAACGAGCTAATAATTAAGCCCGCGCTTCTAGCAAATAAACTATCTCTATCGACTAGAGATAGTTTAAATAAACTAGTAATAATGAAATAAGTATTCTTCTCTCGGAAACCTGTACTGTGTAATGTTACAACATTTGACGATGTTTCCAGTGTCAAGGCGCGACAGATGTCCAGTGAATGTCGCTTCCGGGAATTATGCCTCATGGCATTTAAACTCCTCGACGTTGTTATCGTTTCTAACAAGAGATTTGTTTTTGTACATTCATTTTATACATATTAACTAATGAACTGAAATGTATGTAATTTGTTGCTGAAGTGATATATATTTGTAATGTACATTATGTAAGTTTGTGTGTGTGTGCGGCTGTGTGCGCGCGGCCGCTCGACCACTCCATGAAATTGTGTCGTGACTGTACTAGACCTAATTTTTGTAAATAATCGAATGTGATAAACGGAAAATAATAAATATTTTTTTACAAAAAGTGTTTTATTTTTTTAATGTTACTCTGAGTTTACAATATCTTTATATAACTAGTTTGTTAATTATAAAACGCATAGTTATAAGGCAGTATCATTCAATCTAAGGTTGTAACGGAATCCCGTCTCCGCCTCCGCTCCCGCCTCCGCCTCCGCCTCCATAAGTGCGGAACTTCAGCATGAAAGCGTACCTCTTTATTCGTCTGCAATTTAACTTTTATGTAGTTGTAATGAAGGTTCATTTACGCGAATTAAAAAGTTTTAGTAGCGACTCTGAGTGCTATGTCCGCTGATGCTACTTAATCAATACGATATAGAAAATGCATAACAAATTTAGTTGTTATTGAATATTCTCAATTGTGGTGGAGGTGCATCAATAAATACAAAGTAAACATTTCTTTAATGGCTGGTTTAATTTATGAACCTTTGCACAATCGACAAAGTCGCACAGCGTTCGAAATACATAACTTTTCTTCATTTTGATTACTCGTAAAGTTTCTATTCGACTGTATGTCAAATAAACGCCTGCTTTTTAAAAATCACCTGACATCTTACTGACTCACTCTCTCGTTATGTATCAGTGCCACTAAAGACTTGCGGTACTTGTGACGAATTTTTATCTTTCTAAGAAAAATACTTTAAAATGTATACCTTTACGTCAGACTCGATGACTTCGAAGGTCAGATATAACTGGTGTATCTGCCACTTCTGTGGCCCGGATCACTTTGTAAGACTACAGAATAAATGGTTCTGTAACTGCAAAACGGCGTGAGCGCACGTTACTTCTTTGCTGTACTGCCCCGCTCCGCAACCTCGCTGCCCCGTCTTCCCCCGCGCTCAGACTCCACATTTAAGAGATCTTTGTAAGGAAACCGCAAAATAATGCTATTGCGCACTTTCAATTCCCGCTGTAGAATCCAAAGCCAAGACCGAAGACCTGTCCGACATAACTATATCGAGGTGGAAGTGTAGTGTAGAGCGCTCTTTTTACGCTGGTTGGTTTTCCATCGTAGCACGGATTTAAAAAATAGCTAAGCTTCAAAGACAATGGCAGCGATTGGCGGTTTGACCCGAGCGGGTTTGATTGCACGCCGCCCCGCCGCTCCCCCGCTTCGCCACGCCACGACGGTTGACTACATACCTTGCATTTTTTAATCACACAAAAGTATTAAGAGTGGTGCTTTGATGCTTTGTATTCATTTTTATAAAGTTGTGTTTTTGCTTGAGTAAAAGAACTGTGTCACAGATCACAGGTATTATATCGACTCAATGTGTAAATCATCAGAATTTAAAATGTAAAAAATTAGGGTACCAATGTTGAAAAATGTGAAAATAAAAG